TTTATACATAATTTACATTATACTATTACTTACAACTTACATGTTTTAGCTAGGTGACAATTTAATTACAATAATAAGGGCTGTTGGTCTGAAAAAAATAGAATCGTTTTACCCTTAGGTAATAGGAACTTATCATGAAAATAATATCGTCAGATACTATAGAAGTTTGAGTAATAAGCGACGCTTATTCAAGTAAAAAATAACACGCTATATATAATATACGTATAATTTTATTACAAAAATCAATATCTAATTAATAATACATAATTAAAATCGATCGCAAATGTATGTAGAAAATAAATTTTCCATTGCATACTTCCGTAGAATGAAGAAGGGTAAACAACAAATAACAAATCAAAGTTAAAAAAAAAAATGAATTTAAATGAAAGTGAAAATAAATAATGACAGCAGTTATACAGATTAACAGTTATGTAACTTAAGTATAAGCGGGTGATACGACGAATCGCGATACATGGACGATTGTTCGTAAACACGCGGTATACTACGTGCTGATAGAATCACGATTGAGCTATATTGGACATTTACTTAATTTTGTTGTAAGCTGGTTCCGGTGTGGACGGCTGAGTGGCGAGGAATTGGAGCAACTTGGCGATTGCTGGCGGTAATGGTGGTGGTGTGGGCAGATGGTCGCCGACCGGCACGAATCCTTGGGGACCGGCCACGTATTTGACGCTGATTGGAGTACCGTCCGGAGCTGTGTAAGAGTAGCCACCTTCGACATTCAGGGCTGATTGGCTAGGATCTTGAGCCGGTTGCACGTAACCACTTTCTTGGGCTTGGATACCATTGCCRGTTTCGTATCTGTTAAAATATTAATTTTTTTTTTTGTAGAACTATAATATAATATTGTTTCCGTATATACCAATAAAATAAAATGATAGTTAAACTGTTAACCGGCTTAAACATTTATGTTTTCYGGGATAACAGACTGTGAAATATATATGAATTATAGTGTTATCTTAAACAGTTTATCAGATATGTTGAATACAGCGAACAGTGAAATTACGACTTAATATAGACAAGGTCATCGAAATTGAAGACAATCYCAAAGGGAAACTGTCTACAAACTGACTAGTTATTTCATTAATTAATTCATTAGAAGAACAGCGGGTGCCAAGGTGCCCAAGTTCTACTACCTATTTCTTATCCTAGTATGTATCGTAATGTTGAATATCTTGTTTAATCATTTTTAGTTTATTAAAACGTATTTCCAGCCAATTATTTATTGAACTAATGAAGCAATGATATTTTTGGATTAATAATTTTTACTAGATATCACAAATAAAAAGGGAAAATTATTATACACTATGAAATAATTTTAAGCTCTATTCGTGTAAAGGAACACTAACCATAAATCGAATGTTTTTCGCCCCGGAAAAAACAATGAAAATGAAATCGCATTTTTTTTTATACTTGTTATACTATCAATTACAATTAATATAAATAAATGCTTAGTATATTTTAATATGCCACTCATTTCTCATATGGTGTTATATATGATTCAAACCAACTGTATAATATTATACATAGATTAGTTCTGTACTGCATGGTAATATTGGAAACTGATATTATATTATATTATTAAGTAAGTATCTTTCAGTCCATTATCAGAAATGTTAAGATCAAATTGTTGGATTTTACAGAATCATATAATTCAAATTAATAATATACCCATATTTTTATATTTATATACTTATATTTACGATACTTCATTCAGAAACGTTGTACAACCTTGAGTTGAATTACGGTTCAACACACATTGATGCAACTGGAATGTTTTTAATGCATTCATAAGCGAGAGTATAATTTCCGGAGGTATGTTATTACGTTTTATGTTCTGGATATATTTGTTACCGTTTACCGGTGTTTTGTTACATCATTGTTACAATAACAATGGCCTCAATCAAAGTGGGTGGCCGAATCAACGAAAGCATCTACTTAAAGAGACTATACGCCAAAAAGCGCTGGCCGAGTTTTTGAGGTCAACGAAATTAAACCCATTTGTATGCAATACGATGATTAGTGCAATCTCCCGTGAGATACAATGACACGCCTCGGGTTTAATACGTAACACTCACTTCCCAGTCAACAAATAATTGTTCTTTAGATAAATCCAATTATTATTGAATTGAAAATATAATTTATTATTTAATATCGTAAAAAATTGTATTTATAATTAAGAATATCAATAATTTTAGTGGTATTGAAATCATATGAAACGTATTTTGAAGATARTGATGCAACGGTATATGTATATGTTATTATTCTATATAATATATGACCAGATATTAAGGTTACACTACAATCCTTGTAATATTTTATTTTAGGAAAATTATGGATTCATATAAATAATAAATTTACCAAACGATTTGGTAYACATTATACAAATATTATTAATTAGCAGCAGGTGGAGTATTAGGTTGAACAGATTATCGTAACATATAATTTGTATTTATTCATTTGATTTTGAAGTTMCAATGAATCATCCAATATAGTATCATGGTCAAGTGTCAAGTCAAGATAGCTAGATTCTTCAATTAAGTACGATTAGTTAAAACACGTTGTTTTGATTTAAATAAAAATTATTCATACATCGATTAGTGGCTTGCGTAGTCACTTGATTAAGTTTTTGAGCACTAATGTATTTTGAATGACGTCTCATTAATTTTCATCATTTAATAGAGGTACACACATCTCGTGATAACCGTCATATAGCATGCAATTCGTATATTGTTTCACGGTCGTTAAATCAATGTGAGAATCGATTAGTCCTTGCTGGTTACCACATCGACAATGTATTGTGACCTGACCGCGGCACTATCGGATAACGGATCCACGAATATTCGTGATAAGTTATCAACCAAGTAGGTGTGTTTGATTCACGATCCGAATCATTTGCAAATTGGCGCACTGACGGCGCTGYTCGGAGAAACGTGTGCAAGCAGATGGCGACTTGCCTGGTGGGTCATCCGATTGACGGACCGACGGCGGTGATTGGGTCAAACAGCTTCGGGTCAAACCCCGAAGACTTTCTCGTCCTCATAATATTATACTTTTTGCAAACATACAGCTGATACATACATACATATATGTATTATAAACACTAAATATATACGAGTATTCTATTATTATAATTATTATTGTTGTTGTTGCTGTTGTTGTTGTTATTATTGTTATCCATACACTTCTTTCGCTTTCTGTAATTGTGTAACGAGACAGAGTTAAGTAAGATTATTATAACCCATGATTGAGCACAAAAACCAAACCATCGTCGTCCGTCGCGTCTCGACTTATCATTATAATATAGATAGGAGATCTAAACAATTATTTTCCGGACGAGTTTCAGTTATTGTGGTCAGATGTTMWACAAAAAATAATTATGTTTGTGCATTTTTKATTGTTGTGTTTTTTTAATAGCAAACTACTTATTGCAAAAAAATAAAAATAAATRACGAAACGTTAAAATATATTATAGATCCATTTTCGAATATCGTGATGGACATAGAAATTCTCTTTTCTTTTTTTAATCCAAAAAGTAATAAAATATTGAATTAAAATCACGTTATTCAGGTATAGCTAAAGAATACAAAATTCTCAGCATTCCCGGCTATTACTATCAAAGTGTATACAGTGTTAATGACTTGCTACAATGGAGTACATTATTTTATAATAACATAATTTTGGATAAATATCAATCTCTCAATACAATGTTGTACTAGACAAGAAATATCTACAAATAATATTGCACTTACATTTAGAATTTTTTTTTTTTTTCTCAGTTTAAATTCTCAAAATAAATTACTTTACAAATATTTATTACGTTATAATACAAGTGATTAATACTCAATCAATAAATATAAAATTATTTTTAATAGGCATCATAAAATCAGTATTATTATAGACTGTATGAAATATAATAGATTTATACTGAAAGTTCTAAATAAAAAATAAAAAATAGACTGTATACAACAGTAGTTAATMACACAAATCTGTYTTAAGTTTATTGTAGAGTACACTGTTAGCAAAAGAAAATGTATGAAACATTAGTTGCTTAAAACTTGCTTTTCTCAATTAGTGATTAGTAATACAAACGATGAGTGGCTAAAATATGGCTAATGCTAAGAATTTATTAAAAATTTATTATTTTTCATAGTAATTATTAAAAATCTACAGCAGAAGAGTGGTTGTTAGATAAGTTAGAACAAAAGTGTAATAATTATTAAATAATAKAATTTTGRTTGATATTCCAAAGCATTTAAACTACGCTYGAACTTACGCTTTAAATTGTTATTAAAACTATAGAATTTATAACGTTTTATTACAATTATTGTATTAAAATATTAAACATTATTTAATACGATAAAAATGTATATAAATAATATAAGAACAAGTTTATAGTATAGTCAATTAACCATTCGTATGGTGTTATATTGCTTCAGTTAACCTGTAATTTTACGTTTTACTATTATTAGAAGTACCTATGAATTCGAAAYACGAACTCAAATAATAATGTCACATTTTATTTATCAACACATATTTCATATTATGCAACGTAATATGTACAAGTTTGTCAGCAAAAGAAATTTTAAAAAAAAATAGTAATTTTATGCACAGCGAGTTATGTCCATAATAGGCATTTCGCATCTCAACGCCTACACTAAAATGATATTCCAGTTTATATAAATTATGCACGATTAAATTTAGATTTATAAATAGATTGTTTAAAATTATCAAACTATAATAAATTGCAATAAATACTTAAATTTTTAACGATTATTTTAGCTGACTAGTGTTGAAAAATAATAAAGCTAATAACTAAACTAAAACTWCCCGGGTACTTATAATTTTACCAGTTTATTAATTTTAATAATATATTGAAGAGTTTGTATAAAATGTTACTAAAAAAGTCATATAGAATTATTTAACTATTTTAGTGTAAAATGAATTATTCCAACAAACATATTACATACTTGAGTTTTTATTTCAAATAGGTAATTTATATAACTTTATGTTAAGATCGAAATTTATTTAAAATTGATGTTTAAGTAATAGATTATGCGATGATTATTGTACTAGAAAATCATTTGATTTATCAGATAATATTCTATCAATTCAAAATAATTTATGTTGGTAAAAATATAATTATCTAATCTTAATACAATATGTTATGTAATAATTTTGAATTTTACAAAATATTGTTTGAAATTAACTTATGAAAATTATAAATTATAAATTATTCGTATGATGTTTAAATAATTAATGACTTCAAGTCGTAAGATCTTGTAAAAAAATCAAACACAAAATCGATAAAACATGCCTACTATATAACTACAAAATAACCTATTAGTTGCAATATTTATTCAAGTATTAAAAATTAAATCGCTATGAAAATAAAGGAAATATAACATAATTAATATTTCGTGTACACCGGTGGCCTTAAATTGCCTATTCAATGCGCCGGCCATTCGTTAATAATTCTGATACCGGATTTTACTAAGTATTTAATTTAACATTATTTAAATATTTAACTCGTGACTATCTTTTTTTTTATACAAATCTTACTGAAATATTACAACTGACTGCAGTAATCATAAAAAAATTGAGATTTATGATTTATTAACACACGATTATATGAACGATTGTATTTTTTATTTTGTCACMCAATTAAAATAAATACATTTATTTTAACATAAAAATTTAAATTTGTAAATAAATGATATGTTATGAAGATAATTATATCATGAMAATAATGTTTAAACTATATATGTATACTCGTAAAATATATTAACATAGTATCAATGCATATAACAATACCTATAATAAGAATTTTTTATAAAAAAGCCCAATTTAACATAATGGATTATATTTTTTTTCGAATTTTAACAAATTGTCTCATCACCTATAATTGCGATAAACGTACGCGCGTGCATTCATACATGTTCAGGAAGACTTTGTTGGAAATACAGTGAAGGATCAAGGCCGATACGTTGTTCAAGGATATCGAAACAGCTAGTGTGTCTATCGTATTATTATGGCGCGTGTGCGAAGGACGTGACGAACAGACACGATACGATAAATCGTTTTAATGTGAGCCAATAGCGAAAAAGAAAAGATAAAAATACAGAGAGCGACTACCGATTGATAGTAAAAAGCAGCATCCGACCAAGCGACGAGAAACGCCATGTCCCAGATAATTTGACCGTTGACACCAKGCCGTCATGGTCGTGTTCAACGTGTGCCAGTTATATCATCGCCGATCCAACGGGTGTTTAACGTATCTGCCTACCCGACAATTACGACTTGTATTGTTATTGTTTTTACGCATTCCCTGTCCTATTGATTAAATTATAGTTGTCAGACTTTTTATTTTTWACGTTGTTGCGGGCTATGACAAAAAAATAAAAATAAAAAATAACTCCGTGCGTTAGTTACGACGACAACCTACTAGCGTAGTCGTTGTTAACWACGATGACTTTCAATGTGAGATTATTGATAATGAATAACGTCGTCGTCGTGTTCACATAACATATTATAACTATGTTGTATTATGCAGTCGAAGTTATGTCATCACGCGTCTCCCTTGTTAAAATGTTAGGGACAGCGGCAGCGGTCATCCTACCGGGTCAAAAGCCACAAGGAGTCGTTTACGACACATTGGGTCAAGGAGTAGTGTGGTGAGTATATTATGGATATTACTGATGCAATACCAGTTTGAAATTTCAWTMGTAGGTATTTTTATTTTATTAGTATTTTTAAGTACTTTGGTAATATGAATACGTTTGGGTTTCGTTGCCAACAAAACGTATCTTTTTATTATAGGTCTCGTATGGGATATAGCACAACTGGATATTAACGTCATGATGTGATAGTATAATTTACTAAATGAAATACAGCATTCCATGACGCATTTAATTTATCCACAAGATTTTGTGTTTTTTCTTTGTTKTCAAAAAGATTATTTCTGAAATATGTCTTATGCAACTCAATTAACTTAAAAAAAATGCAAGAAATCACTWACAGAAGGTAATACAATCGTATATAACCTATAATATCCAAATCTTTTTTAAAAACAAAATTCAGACTTGTGATCGATTTTATGTTCAATTTTAAAGTTTTAAATATTAATTTGTAGAATATGTATTTGGCAAAAAAGTGATAAAAATCAAAAACAAATTTTATACATCCAAAAATACTAGTCAATGATTGATAACAATCRACATTCAACCGAGAGATCGCGAGAAAAATATTAGATGTGCTTAAGATTTAGGAGCTAAAATAAACTCTTTTCATTTTGTATTTTAACTATACTTACGCCCATTTATAAGATCCATCAAAATTAACTCCATCATTTTCATATCGGACGATGGGAATAGGAGTTGTGGGTTGATACTGTTGACAGCTGACTAGACCGACCAGCATACAGCTTACTACTGCGATTGCCTAAAAAATTAATTCATGCATAAATAAATTTATAATTATAAGACTGAATTTAATTATAATAATTGARTTTRTACACAAAGAAGGAAGTAAAATATTTTTTTTAAGAATTACACTTTTTAATATGAACAATTATAACCTATTTTTAATGCTACATATTAATATATTAAAATTATATTATTTTGTATTAATTACAACTCGTACATAAAAAACTAAAGATGAACTATATCTATGAAAGCTAAAAATAAATCGATGACGGTGACATAGGTTTCTATCTGTTGCCGTCGGTGATCACTGCTCAGCAATTACGGAATGAAATGCGTATGACTATTTTTAAAGTAGTTTAAAATYATAAGACTAATATTTTACTCTTATAGGCTACAAATAACAAACAATATTCAAATATTTGAAAACCTTGTGTTCTACGTCTTTATATGAAAGGTAATATTCAAATTAAAAAAATTTAACTGTTGTATGTTGTGTGGACATCCATATGCAATATTATTCAATGTTATTATATATAAACGGTCTTAGTGTCTACGTTTTAGATTTTTCATAAATCTAAACATCTGATTGAAACGGATTTTGGGGTATGTGTACGAGTGGTATTTTAAAGAAGAAAAACTATTTGTTTCTATGATAGAACGAATACCTACGCTTTTGCATATAAAATGAAGTCGGTATGATACTATATTAGAGTAATATTGAAAACGACGAATACGATTATCAATGTAATTATTAGATAAGTGAACAAAAAAGACGAATGAGGACCTGGTACAATACTAAAATCACCAAATGATTGAAAACGACGAATACGAAAACTTCGCACAGATTTCCCTGACCAATAAACAAGCTCTCGGATCTGTCATATTACGATTCCGTAATATATAATAATGAAACTAGCATATACGAAGGTGTCGAGAATCGAGATGTGACTATTATAATACAGGTACGTACCAATTTCATGATGGCTTCTCGTGTGTGGCTGACGACGAGGATATCAAATAATAATAATATTATTATAATAATTCGTACGGAGCGGATGTATTGTTCCGCTTAGTCGTTGAGACGCGTAGATATTGTGCTTGGGTACTTTCGCTGTCGAACACGATTCGCACCGTTCTTTGTAGGATGATGTCCACGTTTTTCGTCGATACCACCGACCGCCGTTGTATTTATATGCGACCGCAGACGCACAGGCGGCGTGCCTCCCCCTACTTTGGCAACGATGGGGGGCGCCCCGAGGGTATGCATGGTGCGCATTATAGGCATATTATAACTACTACTATATACGCGTTAGGATGACCTTTTTCCTGCACCAGCAATCCCCCTTATCAATCAAGCTAAATCGCGTTATCACGCAATAATAATATAATATTTATGTACCTATACGCACTTCACCCACCACGCCGTCACAAAAAATTATTGTAATACCTACCGACGTCATTACGCCACGATGATAATTAATAGTCAATAATACTGTTTATACGCTATTAGTTAATACAAACTGTAGAGGTGTGCCCACGGGATATTTGCAGGGTTTACGCGCTAGTATATCCTGCAGCGAGCTAGGAGCAGATACTTTTTGTTAGACAGAATACCCAATCGAGCAAGGCCCTTACATAAAAAGTTATTTTTAGAAGAATAAAAAATATAAAAATATGTACGGTTACGGTCGAAGTTAATTACATTTTAAACATATGTGATCAGAGTCATGAAACGTTGCATTTTTAATAAACACGACTTGTAAGCCAAGTAAATCCACGCCAAGTAAAAATATGTTGAAAAAACTTTATATTTTTTAATAAGCAGCAGTAGCAATAACAATGGAAATCAAAAATATTTCAGAGGCACCATGCTATGAAAGTTTATTCAGGGGCATTTAGATTTTAGCATTGGGGAAATACAAACCTAACCCATGATTATCTTTCTTTTTTTTTTGTAAATTCGGTTCGTTAATTTTTACGGGTAAAGAATAATAAGCACAACATAATTTAATATGAAATTTATAAAAAAAACATACCAGCATTATTCATGCATGATTTTTCTATAACGGATTTTCATAATTTCTAGTAACATGATGTGAATGACAATATAAAATGAGAATTTCCTCCTCATGGTGTCCTCTAGGTAATTCTTAATATATCTCAAAAGTATTAAAAGATTTATATCAATTGGATATGAGAAGATCTGGGTTTATTATTTTTATTCAGGTGGAGTTTACAATCGCCCTTTTTGGAGAGYATATTTTATCAGCTGCATACCGTTCGACCAAAATCTGCACTCATCTATGACAATATTATTAATTGTATGGCTGGCCTATCTATAATATACATTAGATTATGTATTATATATATAGTGTATTCAATTATAGTTGGTTGGTTAGATTTTTACATGGGCACTATTTTTTTGTTTTTGAATTTGGATTGTAATTTAAAAATTTTGTTTGATATTTTATGATTCAATTTCAATTTTGTACCAATAGTTTACTTAAACCGTAATAGGTGATTAAAAATTGAATTAATATTTGATAATGTCAATAAACGATGGCGGCGCCGCGGGAGCAATGCAAAAGCAGATCCCGCGGCGTCGTCGGTTAAAACGGAAAAAAAAAGGTGATTAAAAATTAACGGTATAGAATATTAGGATCTTTTGAAGTGAATCTATACTTGAAATAATAGCTTCTGATACTTATTAAAATATTAATATATTGGCTAATCGACACTAATCAATGTCTTCAAATGATTTTAAAAGTATGTATATTGATTTAAAATGTAATGCATTTTACATTCCGAGTTTTATATTCATATAGAATATTTATGTACACATATTCTWAAATTGATCTTTTATTGTGTATATAATATGCCTACGTAATATTCTTAATATATTCTTTATATATTCGTAATATATTTCTTCTTGGTCGGCAATTAATACCTACTCTTAATAATTAATAATAATAAAGTCAAGTATGGAGATGYAGCATAATATAGTATCATTACTTTGGTCACCGACATATCAACATTGTACATGCCAACGATTTTGATTGCATCTTTATTATAATGTAGGTATTTGGTGATCAAAATGTTTAGAAAAATAATATTATATAATTTATTTTTAATGGTAATAGTTTTAAAACACATCGTAGGTCAATGATTATGTTATTTTTGACGTAACTCAGTTTTATAAACATCATATCCTTGAATAATATCAGCTTTGTCACAATAATTTATTATGTTTTCGGAATATGACATTATATATAAAAACAATCAATTAAACTTGTCATAAAAACAATTTGTCGTATGTGGCATAAATAAAAAGGCGTAGTACCTATAACATATAATTAATCAAACGTATATATATTATTCTTTTTGTTTTTAATGGACTTTAAGCATCGGCAACTAAGGGCATTAGCATTTTTGTAAAGGGGTTACGGTCGATTGAAGAACACATATATGGGGTGAGGATTCGTTACTAAAACTCTGGGGTGACCCATCTGAGAACTAGCGATGCAAGCCGATGCTTGGCCTCAGAACACGTTAGCGACTGAGGCCAACCACCCGAGCCACACCAGAACCCAGTATGCCAGTCGCCAGTTTATTATATATTCTTGGCTCTTGCTATTATAAGCATAATACATTTTTTATTATTCTAGTATGAACAGGTTAATATGATTTATTTTATTATCAATGTTATCGCCGATACATATGCTATTATACTAACAATAATTTATCAATGTGATTGAATTATTGAAGACTGAAGTATCATTAGTTTCATTTTAAGATGGTCTTGTAGTCGTGTTAGAAAAAAACAATGAGAAGTATTTTAATCCTACAGGATAAAGTAAAAATATATCGTGTATTTTTAYARGTCGTTTAAACTATTCTTTTTTTATCATTTACGACACATTTCTGTGCATTATTTTGTGTTAATTACAATTAAAATAACACACGCACAAATTATGGACTAATATTTATGTCATATGCTATTTTCTCATATGGTATTCGGTTATAGTTGATTGAYATCAAATACAATACTTAATAAAAATAAATAAAAAATAAAATAATAATAATAATAATAATAATAATAATAATAATAATAATAATAACAATAAAATACTTAAAGACTAAAATATTTTTTCAATACAATAAAGTAATCAAATAATATTTTATAGAACACACAATTTTAAAGTTACTACGGATATAATGGTGCGGATTTAAAGCCAAATTATACTATCATCGCCCTATTGCAGCCTTTGAGGGGTTTCGCAGCAATGCAGCATTCAAAGGTGCTCTCAACAGTAGTTTAGCTCATAACATCGTTTTTCTTTAAACTTTACTGCCATCGCACTGCAATTAGTTGAAATTTTTCGCTGCACGTTTCGATATGTATAACAGCTGAAAGTTTTTCCTCGTGCKTCCAAATAGACGGTCCTTGGATCCGGACAACGACTATGACTTAATGTAAGACAGCGAAAAATATTTTTTAATATTCTGTTTTTAGCTTTTACTACTCATATRATATAGTTGTTGTGACTTATCTGATCGGCACGTCCGGATGATCCGTTCCCCGCGCATATCGAGGGCTCGGCAACACTGTCGTCGTCATCACCGGGCGATTATGCAAGATTTAAAAGTGACACGCGCGTTCTTCATCGCAGTCGRTTGTATGTGATTTATTATAATTTTAACAACAATAACTATACGCATAGCAAATCCACGCCCCACTCCAGTTTTGCTTTACAAGTCGCACAATATAATATAGGTATAGTAGCCGTGGCCCGCAATGTGGTTGCCGCGCTCACGCGTTACGATAATAATAATAATAATAATAATAATAATAATGATAATAGTATGATAATGTAAATCGCACCGCATTATAATATAGTAGCATTATAAGAGATTTGTATCTATCTTTTTTTTTATATACATAATACCTACAGTATAATATACGCTCTCGTCTTCACTGCGGATTTATTAATTTCATTATCACGCGGAACGTCCAATTAATATAAGTTTTGTATAATATATAAGTGCATCATTCCTAAAGCGTAGTAGGTTGTAGGTGTAGTACATATATAATATATATATATATAATATATAATATGCATACCGTTCACAACTTTTGCACATAACGAGTTCTTTTTGGATTTACAATCAATTATTGATTTGTAAAAATTTATCGTCGTGTAAAACATACAATAATAATATTGTTATAGTCTTATAACGTACAAGCGCGGCTTCGTTGTTTTTTTGAAAACTGAAAAGTCACGATTTAGAATGTTATTTTATATTTGTTATTTCCATCGATTATTGTACCACATGATATATTGAACATAAATTATTGATTTCAGTTGAGTACCTACAGTAAAATACGTTTACGTTACGAAAACATCAACCAAAAACCCGTGTAACATTGTGCAAAATTATAGCCCATACTCGTAAGATAACTACTGCAATTACTACTCTAGATAAATATTATGTTTTAAGTAGGTACCTACTTAGACCAACTAAATAAATTATATGAATACTAGATATCAGTAACAGATTTATATAAGAATTAGTGAGTAAGGAGAATTATTTCATAAAATTCGTTGACTACATACTATATAATATTATGTAATAATATCATAATCAAATTTAATATTTCTCAAATAAAATATTTAAAAAAAWAAATAATAAATTATTATTATATAACTATATAACTATAATTTCTTATACATTTTTTGTGTACCTGCCTATATTAATATTTTTAAAAATAAAATGATTTAATCCATAGGTACAATGTATTATGTATGATATTAATTATTTGAGTGTTATAATGTTATTTTCCAAGAAGTTCTATGAAAATAAAAATAAAATTGTTTGTTTGAAACAAAATTAAAATTAATAATTTATATTTTTATATTAGGTGTATGAATAGAAAATATACAGAGGATCTATATGCAGGTATAATACCCTAAGCATGCGTTTACAGCTTCTTTGTTAGTGTATACTGTTTATTAAGAATAAATACTTCTATACAAATTATGTTAAAGTGCAGTCAGGAGTTTTAGCCACTTATAAGTGGGTACAAATCTTTTAAGTTATCAAAAATGTAGTATAACATTTAGGATGAGTTATAACCTTTGTTATTGTAAAAGTTGCATTACA